AGTGGAGGAGCAGGCGGGGCAGCCGCGAACGGCAGCAGCAGCAGCGGCAGCGGAGGCGGAGCAGTCGGCACCACCCATCATCAGCACCAACAGCACCACCAGCATCACCACCATCCGAATCATCCGCATCAGCATCAGCAACATCAATTGCCGCCGCAGCAGCACCAACAGCAGCCGGCGGCACATCAGCAGCAGCACCAGGCGGCACAGCAGCAACACCATCACCACCATCCAATGACCTCGTCCATATCCAGCGGCTCGGTGACCGCCAATGCCAACTGCATCACCACGTCCGCCTCGCTGGTCTCTATGCCGGGTCTCAGTGCCTACCTGAGCATGGGCACCCATGTGGGTGGCCACATGGGCATGGGCCTGGGATTGGGCATGGGCCTCGGCCTGTCCAATCTGCGCACCACCAGCATCGATGCCGACGACGATGAACTGGTGGCTGCCGATGTGGCCATGAATAATGCTGCTGCCGCCGTTCCTGGAAACGGATCTGGTGCCGGCAACGGTTCCGGATCCGGTTGCTCCGCCTCTGCGGCGCACTATCTGCGGTACAGCAGCAACTACCGCTCGGCCGCCGCGGCTCAGGCATCGCAGGCGGCCCTCCCGAACGCCAACTCGAATTCTAACAACGGCCATGGCCACGCGCCGATCTCATCCAGCATCTCGTCCTCTGCGTCATCAGCTTCGTTTTATAATCGCCTCCTACTCCTCGATAATTCCAGCGGCGATGCAGTCGTCGGCGGCAACGGAGGCGGCAGCGGCAGCAGCAGCGCAGGAGTAGCAGGTGGCACCAATGGCCTCCTGGACAAGCACGAGTCGGAAACCACTCCCCAAGCTGGCACGCAGTCCGTCGGCGATGGCTTCGTGAATTCCCACAGCCCGGCGGCGAACTCGGGATCGGGAGCGACAGGATTGAGGGACAACGATGGACCCTCGTCGAGCAACTCCTCGCATCTCTACCAGAACCTGCTGAGGAGCAGTTCAGGAGAGACGCCAGAAAGTTCCAATGCGGCGGGCAACAACTGTGATTACCGGCACGAGAGCAACCAGGTGAGAGATCTGACATACATTTTGATTTCCTACCAAATAACTTATCTCTTTCCATTCCCAGAATGGTCTGGAAGACTCGCCTCGACGCCATAGCTCCATGGATCAGCTTATTGGGTTGATCAACGACATGGGCAAATCTTCGAGGACGCGCAGCCTCAGTGATGGCGGCACTCAGGACGATGACGAAGGTGGGTACATGTAGAATACCAAAAAAATAGCTAATTAACTTAAATTCTTCATATGGAAAACAGCGGAGAAGGAGGCGCAACCGGATCTGCTGAACAACACCCCCGCCGGTGCCACCAAAACGCTCCCACAAGCGCCGCCACACGCCCCCTCGTCCCATTTCCAACGGACTGCCGCCCACTCCCAAAGTGCACATGGGCGCATGCTTCTCGAAGATCTTCAACGGCTGCCCACTGCGGGTGCACTGCACCGCCTCGTGGATCCATCCGGAGACGCGGGACCAGCATCTGCTGATTGGGGCCGAGGAGGGCATCTACAACCTCAACATGAACGAACTGCACGACGCGGCAATCGATCAGGTATTCCCGCGCCGCACCACCTGGCTGTATGTTATCAAGGATGTGCTCATGAGTCTGTCAGGTGGGTACTACCTTAGACCTTCACATTTTCCAAAAAAATATTTATCCTGTCTAATTGCGAAGTATATATTCTTAAGATTTGAAATTAAAAATTTTGAAATATATTGAGAATAAATGTTATCAGACATAACTTAAAAAAAATGTAATTCAATTTTTAAACTGATTTTTGTTTTGCCATGCATTTTTGCATTATTTTGTCATTTATGCTTACACTAATCAGAAATTCATGTTGCTCAGCGAATTAAAAATTGAGTCATATATATTTTCTTTAAAACAATGAGATTTTATTTTGAATATTTTTGTCCACAAAATTATACATTAATAATTAGCTAAACTAATTTTATATATTTATATCGCAAACTTTTGTTTTCAGGAAAATCCTGCCAGCTCTATAGGCACGACCTGGTGGCCCTGCATTCCAAGCAGACGGTGCGCTTCTCGCTGCACATGAACAAGATCCCGGAGCGATTGGTGCCGCGCAAGTTCGCTCTGACCACCAAGGTGCCGGACACGAAGTGCTGCACGCAGTGCTGTGTGACGCGGAACCCGTACAACGGATACAAATACCTCTGTGGGGCGACGCCCAGCGGCATTTTCCTGATGCAGTGGTACGACCCACTGAACAAGTTTATGCTGCTCAAGCAGTGCGAGTGGCCAGCCATCAGCATTCAAGGCGGAGGTCATGGCTGCGTCCAAAACGGACACACACCCGTATTCGAGATGATTATCACGCCGGAGTTGGAGTACCCGATAGTTTGTACGGGTGTGCGGAAGGCCATGAACGGCTGCCTCAAGCTGGAGCTGATCAACATGAACAGTGAGTGCTCGCAGCTTGAATATCAAAGACTTTACTTTAATGGACTTATTTGCATTGCAGGTGCCAGCTGGTTCCACTCGGAGGACCTGGAGTATGACGCCATGGCCACGATGGTGCCGCGACGCGACCTGCTGAAGGTGGTGCGTGTGCACCAGGTGGAGAAGGACGCCATCCTGGTCTGCTACAGCAATCTGATACAGGTGGTCACGCTGCAGGGCAACCCCAAGCAGCACAAGAAGATGGTATCGCAGCTCACCTTTGACTTCGTCGTGGACAGTATTGGTAGGAGATGGATATATATTATTTAAAAATTTGACCTCATAAAATAAATCGCATTCAGTATGTTTACCGGACAGCGTTTTGGCATTCCATAAGCACGGCATGCAGGGGAAGTCGTTGCGCAATGGCGAGGTGACGCAGGAAATTAAGGACATGAGTCGCACTTACAGGCTGCTGGGCAGCGATAAGTAAGAAAATCTTTTTGTATATCTTACAAATCTTGGGAAGTAACACTAAACTGAACGTTAAGCGTAAAGAACTACTAACAACTAAATGCTCAGCTTAATGTGTAAATAGAATAAATATAGTCAAATTTTTGTGAATACTAACCTAGTCTAGTACTAACCTAAAGTTAATTTGTTTGTTGTTGCAATACACGAATTGTGAAACTGACTGGTATTTAAAAAAGGGAATGCGCAAAGTTAAATGCAATTGTATTAACTAATTTGAAAATGTTAAACTTGTGTGTTTACTAAAAAATATTTAGCGACAACTTCCAGACTTCTTTAGAACTTTCCATTAATTGATATTTATTCATTTTTCCAGGGTTGTGGCCTTGGAGAGCCAGCTGCTGAGGACCGGCTCCCTGGGCAGCGAGGAGGGACACGATCTGTACATTCTGGCTGGACACGAGGCCAGCTACTAAGCTAATGAGCGCCCCTGCTTAATACACTGTTATATTTTAAATATAATCCGGTACACCACACATGTTTTAAGGGCCGCGCCGCCGTCGTCGTCAACTATTAACTGTAATTTAATTACTCGTAGGCTAAGCAGTAAATAATTGATCATAGAGGAGTAGAAAGAGCCAGTTGCATGTCGAGCGTTCGATAGCTTAGATTAGCGCAATTTTTCCGCACCTAGAAGAGGCAGCCTTCGAACAAGAGATCCACACTACCAAGCACACTGAAGGGGGTACTCGGCCCGACTTGCTATCTTTCGATCTGCCGATCACTCGATATATTAGACGTCTGCGTCAGCCCGATTCCGTTGTAGCTATATTTTTGTATTACAAAGAAATGCTTTAATTTATACAACCCACTTTAATGATCTAAGGTAATCGCTACGGATAGTTATGTTAGAGATTTGTGTACACGCTTCACAAAGCCAATAGATACGTTTCCAAATAGTCATTCGGCAGGAGAATCCAATTATACATAAACTAATACACGCAATTATCCACACGATTTGAGAACCACTAAGGCAACTAGAACTAATAAATACGTCTTAGTCTATAGCAATTGTAAATCGCAATGTTTTTAGCTGGTTTAACTGCTTTCGATTGGCTCAAAACCGCAACGGAAATTCAAGAATGAGGGAATGAGGGGAGCGATTTAGGATGATACGGTTTGTTGGGAAACAAAACTAGCTAGTAAGACTTTTCTAACCTAGTAACACGAATTAACAAAAATAAATGCAAATTAAAGGTCTGTATCTGTATGTTAAACAAATAAACTGATTGTCATAGTTACGGTTTTAGGCTAAGCTAAGCGATGAAAGCAGACATCTTTCCAAGCAGCACTTTTCGTCGATTGAGTTGTAAAAATATTCTACTAGACCTTAAGTTATTTAGTTCATACGACAAAGCAAAAAACCGAAAATTACAAACTAATACAGAGAAAAACAAAACAGATAAACCCACAAAATTGTTGAACTCTAGTTTAGTGCAAGAATAAAAAGTATGTGAAAGAAATGATGTCCCTATTTTAATTTGCAACGGATTTCGGAAAGAAGAACACTTTAACGGGCAATAAATAAATCAAATTTAGATTGTTTATTGGCGAGGTTTTGCCGAAAATTCTTTTTTTTTACAACATCAACAAACGAGTCGATAAGGCTGTGCGCTTGTTTAAGGTTGTGAGCGGCGGTTATCTAAAATCCGTGGGAAGAGACCGAGCACTGTTTCTTAGTTTTTGTAATACGGTAAGATATAATTTTCCTATTTTTGTTTAAAACTTAATTTTTTCTATTCATAAATGCTTGATTGATTTATAAGTAATATTTTTTAAAATTTGCGTTTTTTTAGAAGCTGTGGGAATTTAACTCACCGTTATTTTTGGTTCCTTCATAAAACAGGTAGATATCATTTTCTAATTTTTTTTCAAACCTTAAAATTTTTTTTTATAATTTTTCTTTAATATGTCTAAATTTATTCAAATTGTTTTCAAATGTTCCTTTTTTTTAAATGCGTTGGGCATTGCTCAAAAATGCGTTTGTGTCGTTTTCGAAAATACGGTAACTCATTTATTGTAGGCTTCACGTGTTTCTCGTTTTGTTTACAAATTTTCACAACGAAATGAAGCCCTTCGAAGTGCCGCCCTGGGAGGCAGGAGCCGAGATTATTGAATTTAAGCCTGTAAATCCATCAGGGAATGGAGTTGGAGCCGCCAAAAAACAAAAGAAAAAGAAACCCAAAAAGAAAAAGGCAGCGGCATCGGCAGAAGTACCCGAAATTAAGAAGGCACCTGGAAAATTCAGTTACCGGCAGGGTGGTGGTCCCTTGGCCCCTCCCCTGGCATCCTCGGATGATGATGACGATGTGGAGGACGGAATCCGGGCCATGCATAAGGTGAAGTCCGGAAGAATCGAGAAGCAGCGACCTCCGACGCAGGCCACAAAAGGTGGCAAGAAGGAACTGAAGCTGAAACCGGAACTAGCGCAGGCGGCCGTGGAGGCAATGGAGACCACCAGCTCATCTACTCCGGCTCCCAACGCACTGGCCAGTAAGCTGCAATCGGAACTCCTGGGCGGACGATTCCGGTATATAAACGAACAGCTCTATTCGATGACCAGCCGCAAGGCGGAGGCACTTTTCCGCAAGGATAGCTCCGCCTTCGAGGCCTACCACGCTGGCTATCGACAGCAGGTGGAGAAGTGGCCCACTAACCCGCTGAACCGCATCATTAAGACCATCAAGAAGATACCCAAAACCGCTATAATTGGAGATTTTGGTTGCGGAGAGGGAAAACTGGCTCAGTCTGTGCCCAACAAGGTGTACTCCATGGATTTGGTGGCGGCTCGTGGTGACATCATTGCCTGCAACATAACGGATACCCCTCTGCAAGCTCAATCTCTGGACGTGGCCGTTTACTGCCTCTCCCTAATGGGAACCGATCTGAACGAGTTCTTCCTGGAGGCCAATCGACTGCTCAAGCTGCACGGCAGTGTCTACATAGCGGAGATCCAGTCGCGTTTCGAGGATGTCCGAGATTTCGTCCGCTGCCTGAGTGCCTGTGGATTCGATTTGATCAAGAAAGATGTGGCTGTTAACTATTTCTACTTCTTCCAGTTCAAGAAGATGCGGCATGTGCCCAAGAACACCAAGCTAAAGACTTTCTCTCTGAAACCATGCTTATATCGCAAACGATAAGGCTGCAGATGATGTCCTGGTTCCAATTGACAAATGCACGATATTGAAATACCTCTTTCTTGACTCTTAAAAACTCTTTTCAGTTGGACACTAAATATCAATTTCCACAAATGTATAGTTTGGAACTTCAATGTCGGGAATAGTATTTGGAATCAGAGACGGAAACTGCCTATATAAAAATAGTTACTTTTATACATTAACTAAATGTAGGAACCATTGCCGAAATAATTACGGAAATAAAAGCATATGTCCGTACATCTGTGAAAATTATAGTCGGATACAGGTAAAATTACACCGTGCACCTTTAAAAAACACTAAGAAATTGTAATTTGATTGGGTTGGGTTTCTCAATACAACACATTGAATAAAAAAAATGCAAATTGATCAGAGGGTCTGTTAATTTAAAAATAACTCTTACTCCTCTCAAGATAAATTGTATAGTTAGTTTTGTAGATATCTTAAATGCGTAACTTGCTTGAGCTTTGTCACAAAACAATAATTTATCAGAGACTTATTATAATTATTTTTGGATTTTTTTTCAAAAAGTTGTTTTGAACGGATGCACTGAATAAACTTCTGATTTGACATCATTTTTTTTTAAGAACAAAGACAAAACTTTGTATAGAATATTCATATATACAGATGCAGAGTCGTAAGAGCCTGTTTCTTGAAACAACGGGATTGATGCAACTTAAATTATAATTTCTCCTAGTTTAATAAAAAAAACATGTAATTTTTAATGAAACCAGATTAAACTATTAGAAATGTAAACGGTTGAAAGGCTATTACGAGCCTTAACTACTAGAATAATATAGCTACAAAAACTGCATTTTTCAAGAGAGTCATATTTTATATACAAATATTTTTAAATTAATTTTTAGAAAAATTTGATTGCCATGATCTTTTTGTATTGCCGTATAATTTAAGACATGATACGGAAAGATCTATTATAAAAAGATTTTTTAAATTAAAATTCGAGCACTTGTCTACAATCATAATATAGTTCAATTTATTTAACAAACAACAATTTTGTAAAACGAAACTTGTACGTAATTTTATCCCCTTCAATTTGAAAAAGTTTTGGATGTTGTTAAATCAGCTAAGAGATTAAAAAAATTTAAAAAAATCGGTCTGAAAATTTGACTTAATAGTCCTTTTATAAGTAAAACAATACAAGCCCACGATTCCGACTTTATAATTTTAAAAATAAATATATATATATATATATAAATAAACGTTGTGTAAAATAATTTAAACTTTTGTAAGAAAACCCTAGAACTTCACTACCTTCGGGGGAAATAACTACCGAAATATGATGTGTTTTTAAAAATATAAACAAACTGTTCCCAGGGCTTAAGATTAATTCAGATTAAGCTTTTATATAAAAAAATACAATTTTGAGCACTTTAATCGATTGCCCTTCTTAAGTTATTTGAATGTAAAATCTTTTGCTAGCGCTATAAATGATTGAACCACCGATACCGACGTTAGCCAGCACTGCTAACCACTTGGGATCCACTTGGTGGTTGTTTTTCTCAGCGAAACTCAGTGACCACCGACTCGTTTCGACTCAAATCGAAAAGCGGAAAGCAGATGCCTCTCCGTTTCGGTTTCAGTACCAGTTTGCTCTTCGTGCACAGCACATCGAATATTTGTGAAGACGGTACATTACGTTTGATTGCGCTCCCAGAATTCTAAGCAGATTTGTGTTGCCATTAGAATAGCAGGAGGCGACGAGCGGATAGAAAAGAAAAGCGCGCAATTCGCCAGTGTGTTTATAAATAAATGGGAAATTAATTTATTAGCAACCACTATTCGCGCAGTTTACGCCCACGCCCACCCCGCTCTCTATTATCCCCCCTCTGTCCCCACCCGCTCAGCGTTCTCTATTACTCACTCAAAAAAACTCAACGTCAAATTTTCAACAGGTATTCAACGACGACGACGACAACAACAAATTGTCTTTTTTCGCGAACGAATAGAAAAAAGTGGCAAAGAATTTGTTTACTAGTGTGAAAGCGTGTGAGTGCAACAACAGGGAAAAGTGAAAACAACACAAATACAGCAGCAACACAAACTCATCTAACGGTTAAAAGGCGCCGCAAAGTATTCCCCATCTACGTTTCCTTCCTGTGGATTAAAAAGGATTCTAGAGTCAACTTAATCGGGTGAGTAACTTTTGGGGATTGCGCCATTTGCTTAGTTTTTTTTTTTGTAATTTTTTTTTTCTTGGGCTGTGGTCGGGAGTTTTTGGTGGCTTTATGTTTTCGTTACAAACACAAGCGCAGAATGACTTGGGCAGAATGACTTCATAGCACACACAGATACACCCAGTTAATTGAGAGCAGCTTTGCGAGAGCGAGAGAGTCGCAGAGAGGCGAAGAGAGAACCAAAGTCACTCACTCCGCACTTGTATCTGTGTATTTTTGTATCTCTGAGCTGTTAAGCTTTCCGAGTGTATCTTTTGGCACGATATTCTTTCGACTTCTTGTTTTGTCAACTCGGCCCACATTGTTGTTGTCGCCAGTTCATTTTGCCTTACTCTAATTTTCCTTCTTCTGTGTTTTCCTCCTTTGCTTCGCATTTAGAGGGAGGGTGGGAAATTCTTATTGGGCCCGCGGTAGCCAAGGAAACGTTCCACAACACCGATCGAATACAAATGTATTTTAATGGTACTCAAATTCAGCGGAAAAAGTTTTAAATGTATTTAAAAGGGGGAACACCTTTAATTAACGTATAAACGTAACGCTTAAGGAAGATACTCAGAAACTATCGTTTATAGCTACAAATGTATCTCAAAGCTAAGTTTGTACAAAGCTAGATACTTTGACAAAAAAGATATAAATTTATCTTGTAGATAGGCATTTTTAGGGGAAGATGCAAACAGATTTATCTTTTACTGTCATAAATAATCTAGTCAAAAAGTAAAAGTATCAATCTATGGTTTCCATACCTATGAATATGAATATGAAACGAAAACGCATTAACTAAATGTTACAAAGTATTCTCAAAGCAAAGGGCAATTACTTTGACCCGAAGGTACAAATGTATCCCAAAGCCCCGTCCATTTATGTATATAGGGGCAAACAACGTAACTAAACGAAAAAAATTTGACATCTACGCACTTTGAGAAACCGATTCTTTTGAATCTTTTTTTGGCCTATATTTAATTTTGGAATTTTGTCGCATTCATATAGCATAAAGTTTCATTTGGTTGCTAAATCCGCTGCTCAAATTCCCCTAGTTCTTAAACGTCACTGCTCCAAAAATAGAATCGATCGACGAGTGAGCAGGTTTCCGCACTTCTTATCAAACTTTGAGCGGTTTTTGCATTGGCATTTTTTTGTTTGATATCGGCTCGGGTAAACAAGGACGGCTTTTCATCCCAACCACTAGGAAACATGGTTAGTATGCCGTTTTGCGATAAGATAAGGCACCACAACAAAGGCCAGTTATGAATGGCAGGTGACTGGTGGCGTTATTTTCCTCCCTACGCCCCTTAGCCCCTCTGACTCATAACTCGATTTTCACCATCCCCGGAAAACTTGGGGCGTTGACTTGGCAACGAAAAACCGTTCTTCGAAAGCCTCTGTTTACGTGGACTTTTTTCCCGGGAGGTGTGGGCTTTGACCCAAATAGTAACAAACATTAACATAAAGACTTCTTCTTTGCCAGGCCATGCAAAGTGGGAAATAAACGAGGCAGAGCTTGCATTAGAAACCGGTTGCTGGCCAAGAAGTTGGCTGCGCAGCAGACAAACAGATAAAGCAGCCGAGCAAAGCAAACGAGGAGTGCCAGCCACTGAATGCTAATAACTGTACAACCAGCGAGTGGAAAACTATAATAAAATCGGAGAGTGAGAGAGCTAACGACTTGGCAGCACGCGAACATGGCCAAAAGAGTCGGAATCAGAGCCAAAGCGAAAACCTGAATTCGAGCGGAGTGTGGCCAACTAGGTGTGTCTTCCAGCATTAGAAGCTCTGAGAGAGTCGCCCCTCTCTTCAATTCTCTTGGCTTCTCTCTGGGGAAAACGCAGATCAAGCCTGGTTTTGATCATGGCAAAGTTAAGCGATTTTCCAGCGTGGCCAGATCGTTGGGAAGATTCCTGTGTGGGTATCTTCAAACTTATAAGTCCTCATCAAAGGCGCTGGCTATTCTTAGTTCGCCTTTTAGACAGAAGATTTCCACCCTGCTCCATCGACGGGGAAAGCAATCTAATCTGTCAACAAACTCAATCATACGGAAGGCAGCTTTTCCAGCCCGCTTTGAGCTGCTCAGTTCTCTTCCTTTCCCCCATCCTTGCGTTTTCCGTTTTCCGATTTCTATTTTTATTTGTTGTCGCATCGATTTTTACTTCTGCAGATGGGGCGTCTATAGGTCTATGATTAATGTGCAAAGCGCTGGAGTGGACAGAATTCTCCTCGACAGCGGCTTGTTTGTTTACTTTCTCCCCCTTTACACCACTCTCCCCCTCGCAGTCTGGGCAGAAATCAAATCGCGATGTGCATGTGGGTGCGCCATCACGGCACGGGGAAAAATATCGTAATGTTTGATTCCGATTTTGGACTTTTAAAAAAATATTCAATTTGTATTGAAAATGTGTATTATTATCAATAATATCAGGTATCATTGCATAATCTGACTTTTTCCAATGAGTTCAGAATTAACAAAATCAAAATAGAGTATTTAACAGTTATAGTTATATAGTTATATCATTTTAGTATTGACATTGAACAAACTGAATTTTTTTCAAAAAGTTCTGAGTAAACACAAACAAAATAAAATAGTTTCTGGTCTACATATTATTATTTTATAATAGATGTGGTATAAGTCCCAACAGATTGATCAAAAAGATGAACTTCTTGGCCAAAATTGAGTACATATTTATTTAACTAGGGAATTACAACTAAAATTAACATCTCCAAGTAAATGTAATAATTTATTTCCAGTTGTAAGCATAAAAATCGACCTTTAAAAAGTTTTTTCTTTTTCCAAATTTTAATATTGTAGTGTAGAAATAGCAGCACCGCTGGATGCATTCAGAGTTCGTTGGCCAGGCAGAGGCAAATGCTTTAAATAGCCATTGACAAGCGGTAGATTGGTGGTGCAGGGTGGTGGGGAGTGGTGGTGCAGGGCGGTGTGGGTGTGATTCACTGCGGTTATGTCGCCTGACAGTCGAGCGCCGATCGGAGCGGTAATTAGTCAAGCGACACACTCTTCCATAGAGCCGTCACTTGAGCTGTCCAAAAGTGGCAGCTAGTGACCAGAAACCAGTTTTCCTCGAGTGGCTGATCTACTTCTGGCTCAAGACTTGGTGGTCATCGCCGTCTCAGGGTTCCAAGTGGGAAATGGGAACGGATTTGGCTTATCGAAAGGCGGGTTCC